CTTCCTTCCTTCCTTCCTTCCTTCCTTCCTTCCTTCCTTCCTTCCTTCCTTCCTTCCCTTTCGTTCCTTTTTCTACCCTCCTTTTTTCTGCTATCTCTCCTCTTACTCTGAATTTCCTCTTTTTCATCTCACCAACTTCTCTATTTTTGTCCTCTTTTCCTCCCTTTCCTTTTACTCCTATCTCCTGTTGCCCTTTTTCCCCCATTCATCCTGATCTCCCTGGTGCTCTTCCCCCTGTGCAGAAGCACTGGGATACACAGGAAACAAGGCAGGAGAAGGAGAAATCCCTATAATGAGGGGATGCATACAGGGTGGGAGTATCAAACATAAAACGAGGTAGTGTACCAACCTCTGCTGTGTGCCAGGACCTGGAGCAAGATGGGAATGCAGGCAGGTCACCCAGGGCAGAGGCACCGGGGCAAGGTCTTTGCTAGGGGAGACAGGACTTCCCCAGGGAGCTCAGAACCAGGATTTGTGTGAACAGGAAACAACAAAAATATCCTCAGTGGTCTCCCTGACTTCCAGTTTACAGACAGCTGTGCATGGGGGCCAGCTTGGAGGGCCTGGGAAGTGCCTGCTCGCTATCCCTGTCACCAGTCCTATCCAGGACGCGTTCCCTCATTAGTGCAACACGCCGGGCAGGGAGCTGCGCGTCGCTGGCACAAAGGCCCCTCTCTCTCTCTCTCTGAGCTCTTTGGAATGGAGCTGTGACAGCAGTGGAGGATGGGCGCCCCGGGCCTGTGCTGTGCCAGGCCTGCTGCCCTCTCGGGCTGTCCCCGTGTCACCGCCCCCAGCCGACCCCAGTGACCAGCGGCTGTCCCCACACCCGGCCCGAGGCAGGGCGAGGGTGGCAGCGCTTGGTCAGGGCTGGAAGGCATTCGTCATTCCTTGGCTCGCTTCCTCCTCCGCCTGCCGGCTACTCCCTGCCTCCCTCCCTATTGTTCCCCGGTAGTTTTAGCCCCGGTAAAAGCTCATTCAGATTTTCACAAGACGGAACAAAGAAAGGTTTTGAAGTGCCGAGAGGCACTAGGCAACACCCCGACTTGCCTTCCTCTCTCCACTCCCAAAATCTCAGCATCTCCCCCAGTTTTTTCTTCCTACCAACACCCTCTTCCCATAACCCTGGCTCACACAACAGTTCAACTAAGCCCAACCAGCTTTTCCCTACAAAGCACGGCTTTAAAATGGTTCCGTGCTCCTCCCCGGGCAGCAGGAGGGAAAGTTTCGGGAGTTTCAGAGCCGCCTTTGCCGCCGGTACGTACCTTGCTGTTGTCGGTTCTGTGCGGGAGCGAGGGGGCCGAGCTGGCGCCTTCCTGCTGCCGTTACCACGCAACCTCTGCTGTCGTACACACGGTGCCTGCTAGAGGGAGGGAAACAGTTTTGGGCTCTGACGGCTTTTTTCCTCCCGTGGCAGCTCTTCAGGGCCTTGCAGAGCAAGCGCTGTGCACACAATTGTGTCTGGCTTGTGATGAAGCAAATGTTGCAAAAAGCTCCTGATGGTGACAGAGGCAGCTTTTACTTCTCACACCGGATCATGTGGCCACTTGCCATGGTTTAGCCCAGAGCAAGGGAGTAGTTGCCACTGAAGGATCCATCCGAAAATGAGGCCACCGCAGTGTTGAAGAGTAGGTAGAGATGATGGAGTTTGTGTAGTCTCTCCATTCTCCAGGCAAGCCTGTCCTGCCAGGCCTAGGAGTGATGCTGAGCACATTACTGCCTACCTGTCACCTTACCTGGGGGTTCTGCATCCCTCTTCCCAGCAGGGGCTGGGACACAGGCAGCTCCCTGTTTCTGCACAAGCTGAATGCTCACACTGCCTGAAAGGGTCCCTTGGGCACAGCCCTGGTTGTGTCTCCCTAAAACTGCCCCTCAGCAGCAAGCCTGGACCTCACTCCTATACCTCCTTCTCCTAAATTCCCACTGGTTCTTCTCCTCCTCAAGGAAAACGCTGCCATCACTCCAGCTGCGTTGCACAGTAGCTATGGGTTGAAGTAACCTTCCTTCTTCCCCCATTCTCAGTGGTGTGATGATGAATTAATGTTTCAATAGCCAGCAAATGATCCAGCAGCAGAAGGTTTGTCTTTCCGTCCTGTAGCTGCAGATGCTGACAGAGATGATGGTAGAGTGATGACCTGGGAAACAGAGCCTTTATTGAGCCACAGGAGAAACTCTAGAGGCTTTCCCTCCAACTGCTTTTATTACCCTTCTCCTGGAGGACATGGGAACCAATCACCAGGAGAGCCCAATGAGCAAAAAACCACCTTTCTCAGTGCCCAGAAGAGAGTTGAAAGCCAAAGAATTCACCTCTTCCCTATTCCCTCTCAGGAAAATCCACACAAAGAATTTGCTAGAATAGTCCTTGTGCTTCTGGGTCTGACCTGAAACCTGCTGAAGCACAGGCAAGATCTTGGGGATGGCCTGAGCTCCTGGCTTTGGTGTTTGTTGGATGCTCCCTGGCAGGAAATGGAGGGGATGCTGGGGCTGGTGCAGGATGTCTCTGCCCTTTTTGCTTGGCACGATGGTTTCAGGAAGACCACCAGTGTTAGGAAGAAAGTTTATGCTGACAGGAGATCTGCCAGTCAATGAGGCAATTTGGAGTCGATGCCTGCCATTCAGCCCAGCAGCAAAGGTGTCATTGCCTATCCAGCCACTGCTGGCATCTCTCTGCTCTTGGTTCCTGCTTCACTGAACTTATCAGGAGTCTCTAAAGGCCAAAGTCTAGTGTTTGTTAGAGGTTTCAGAGAGGTTCATGTCACGTGGGCCTTCTGTAGACCTCCTGCCTTGGGCAAAGCACCCAATACACTCTGGTCTGTGTTGGTGAAATATTAGATTCATAGGCCAAATAGCCATGCCAAAAGGTTACGTGCTTCTGTCTCCCTGTCAACCCTTTGGCTGCCCTCACTGCAGGGACAGCAAAAGGCATTTCTGGAAAAATCTATTGCCCTTTTTCCAGCAAGAAGGACAGGCCATCCTGCTCATCAAGATACACACAGATCCAGAGGAAATGATACAAAATGGGGCTGAGAAAGCCAACAGCACACACCAGTGAGAAATACCTGTGTGTGTCTTGCCACAGAAACAGTGGAAGTCTCCTGGCATGGAACCATGTGGTTATTTGTACAGACTCAGGCTGATTCCTTAAAGATGCCTTCAGGAGTGTGGCAATGACATCTGCCCTGTGTTCCCCTCTTTACCCCAGTTTCCCATTATCCTTTCTGAGTTCATTCAAATTTATCTCCTCTTTTTTAGATCCTCTCCCTCTTTTGGTCTTTGTAGCAGGGAGAGAGAGCACGGTGATGCCCATCTTGCCCCTGCTGCCTTTGGGCACAGCTGGCATGAAAGCATGAAGTGCAGGTGCTGGGATCTGAGGAAATTGAGATGTGTCTCTGCATTTAAGATGACTTCATTGTAAAACTAAATTTATGCACATAAGACCCTAGAGTAAACTTACAAAAGAGTACTTAAATTAAGACCATTAGTGTAAACTGAAAACTCTGCCTCTTCCCCTTGTAGCAGTTTCCTGTTCTGTCCTCTCTGCTCTTATGATGCCTCTGTGCATATAATTAATGGTAATTAAAGACAATAAACTTCTAAGAGTAGTGACAGATCTTTTTCTAACTTGACTCTGTGATCCCTACCAGAAAATTCATTCCATAAATTCAGCTGTGGAGATCAAAACAGCAAGTTGTAAGCATGTGCCCAGCTCCATTTGTTGCAGTGAGTGAGTGATTTGTTTATATCCTACTTGATCCATTGATGGAAGCCATTTGTTCCTTGAGCTTGTGTGCAAACTTGAAGTAAGGCTTTGTAGGGTGAGGAAACACAAAACTTGGGTCATTCCTGAAGAGTCAGTGGGCTGATTAAGCACTGGGGAGCAAAGTATCTGCGGAGCTAGAGTGGAGAACCTGACACTGTGGCTTAACTGATGCCTCAGGAGCTAAAAAAATAATAAAAAAATAAATAAAAGGAGGTCAATAATCAGGTGTTGGTAGCAAGCCGTTAGTGAGGTGGCTGAGCAAGGTTTGGGTTTTTCAGCAAATACAGGCAATAGCTCACCCTGACTTGCATGTGTGCACACACACATATGGACGTTCCATACTGTGGCAGCTCATTATAGATTCCCACAAGAAAACCATTAGGGAGGAAATTCTTACTGTTCTGATGTGGTTGCCTTGTTCTTGTAAAAGAAAAGCTGTTGTTTCCATGTTGCACTGGTTTTGTTGTTTAGGGAGTGGAGAGGATTATAATGAAATAGTTCTGTGAGTGTGTGTGTAATATTTTATCCCTGTGGATACAGTCTTTCACTGTGGGTCCAGCGAAAATGGAGCCCCCAAAAAATGGAGCTTCCCAGATATGTTCATCAACCAACACACCTGCAGAAAAAGTACTGTCAGAGGAATTTTTCTCACATCCCTGCTTTTCTTCACCTTCTGTCTCAGCCTGCCGCAGTGTTTGCCTGCCCGTCTGCAGAGGGCGCTGCAGCATCAGTTTGACCAGACTTATGGTCCTCTGGTTTTCCCTCATGCCGACGTTGCCCTTGGTCACCAAAACATTGCAGGGGTTGAGGGCTGAGATGGGACCACAGCTAGAGGTAAAAACGAGAGGACCAGAGCAGAAACAAGGGTGTATTTGACAGCACAGTCTCTTCATGCCAGCTGTGCAGCAGCTGTTGAAATTGGAGACTGCAATGGATTTCACTTTCCTGTTAAATCCTGCTGCACAGGAAGACTTGGATAATTTGCTGAAACTTTGAAGGCCACTGTAGGGACAGCTGGTTATTTCATTAGTTTGTATAGGACTCAGAAGTGTAAGTTTAAATCAGCTTTAAAAGGCAAGAATGAAATCTTGAAATGAAAAGAACCCCAACAACCATGTACTTATCTGGGTTTCAGACTTCAGTTTGCATGTTAGCACTGCCTTTTTACAGAAAGGAATAGTAGATTTCCTCTGCCAGTTAGAGGCACCTCTCTCTAGTCTCTATGAGAATACCCATGAGAATTCATGGGTATTTGTGCCCCAAAAAATCACTTTGTATCCTAGAGTCGCGATGGTTGGGAAAGACCTCAAAATTATCATGTAAATCCATTAGCCCAGCATCACTGTGTTCATCACTAAACCATAGCCCAGAGTTACATCCACATGCCTTTTGAACACTTCCAAGGATGGGGATTCCAACCTGGGCAGCCTGTTCCAATGCCTGACCATCCTTTCAGAGAATAGTTTTTTTCCTAATATCCTGTCTAAACCTCCCATGACACAACTTGAGGCCATTTCCACTCATCCTCTAACTTGTCACCTGTGAGAAGAGACCCCTTCACCTCACTAAAACTCCTTTCAGGTAGTTGTAGAAGTGATGGGGTCTCCTGAGCTTCATTTTTCCCAGACTAAACAACTCCAGTTCCCTCAGCTACTTCCCATAAGATTTGTACCATAAAACCCCCACTGCATCCTCTCTTTAATCCAGTTCTTCCTTGGATTATCAGAATGAATTTGCTGCAAAGGCATGGGGGTGAGATATTTTGGAGTCTCCTCAGGTATAGGCTGGGGTTGGTGAGCAGTTGAAAGCTGAATTTCATTCTTTGTCATTGAAATTTGCCAGAAAAGTAATTTCCTTATGCATGTAACTGAGGAAAGTGGTCAGAATTTTTATTCCCAGTTCAGTTTGTGGTAGGGATGGAAATCCTGCCAGTTGAGTGTAATCCTGTTTTTTTCCATGATACACCATCAGTTTTTAAAAACAGCTTCTCTTTTTTTAAAAGCTTTTGGTTGTTTGTTGTGGCTTGTTGTAGTAGAATAGAAGCAGAATGTGAAGCACTTGCTTGAACTTTGCACCTGGATAAATTCAGGGAGCAAGGTCTCGACCTTTTTTTTAATAAATGGCACCTACATCAATGACTCCTTGAGGTTTTTTTTATTTTTTCCTAAATTTACAGAAGAGAAACAAGTGTTTTGGCTCTAGCAGAGGCCTCCAAGTGAAGTGATCTCCAAATGCTTTCCTTCTCTGGGTGGGATGAGAGAGAGAGGGCTGGGGCCAGAGCTGTGTGGGAAGAACTGGATGTAGTGGGTGCTGCTCACTGTCGTGGCCTTGTCCAATGTTCAGTAAAGAAACAAAAGACCCTCTTGGATTGCCAGGAATACACAGGCAGTGTTCTGCCTGCCTTAAGCATGGGATGGGCAAAGGTATCTGTGTAGCTGTACGGGGAGCAGGTGAGGTCACTCCTCCACTGTGCCGAGCTTG